GCTCTGTAAATTTACATTGAGCACTATTTTGTAAAATAAAATATCTATAAGAACACTGGATTTTATATCTTACTGTTCTTTCTTTTTATTTATATACATATATAATATGTATATATATATATATATATATATAATATGTATTTTTATATAAATATGTTATATATATATTATATGAAATTTCTATATATATATTATTTATATTATCTATGCCTGTTACTTATTAGAAAGCGCACAGTATTGGTGATAGAGCTATCTCTCTCTCTCCCTCTCTCTCTCTCTCTCTCTCTCTCTATATATATATATATATATATATATATATATATATATATATATATATATATATATATATATACTAGACGACCCATAATCTCGTTAGATTCATTTTAAATGCAGTTAAAATGATGAGGTAACAACATTATCAATTGTATTATTAATTTCACATATTTTAATTTATATTTGCAATACAAGTTATTGTAACAATTATTATTATTCACATTAAACCATTACACTATTTACATTATTTGGACTGTTATATATAAAAGTATTACAGCGAAAACAACAGAACTTGCCTGGGGTCGAGCATGTTTTCGGGACTGAAGCATAATTGCCACCTCTAGCTGCTGGGCATCTCTAATATTTACTGGTTTTCGTCAGAGTTTTGGATTGCCAGTTTCATGCAGTTGCAATTTCTACCTAATCTTGAATATTTATATCGTTTCATCTTCTGGTGATGACAATCCATGTTTTATTAACTGGTTATCAACTGATAATAAAACTTCAGCATCCAACTTCAATAGGAAATATATTAGTCGTCCACCCATTTTTTTATGCATTGCTATCACATATTTTCGTACTTATCCAGTTTAAACTGTTGGACCCTAGGGGCATTTTTTCTCGGAAATTATTGAAATTGTTACCAATTAACTGACCAAATCAGAGATCTGGATATTTAGTATAAATTTATAATTTTGGAAAGTCTATAATTTCTTTTTTTTTTCTTTGCTATCTATTTCTATGAATGATTTTACTGGATAAAATGGATTAGAGGGAATGTGGTTAGAACTATTTATAGAAAATGATGTCACAAAGATGACTCAGCTATTATCGTGTGATGCTTGCTGGAATGAAAATAGCATGTATGATCGTTATATGAGAATGTTTAGATTTTTTCTGCTGCTGCGTGATTGTAGCGTAACAAAATGTTTCAAATTGTGGGATAATAAATATAAACATATACATCGGAAATAGAATTATTCAAAAATTAATTGTCAAGTCCACTGGTTGGTCAGTATATCTCGTTTCTAATACGAACAGTAGTGTAGAAGGCACGGTAATGAATAGGGTTTCAGACTGAGGAATCGGAGAGCCGAGTTCGAATTCCAGTCGAATTCATTACATTCACTTACGTGATTATTTCCTTGGGAAAGGTATGAATCCTCTTCTTTTACCCCCCCCCCAAGCTATGGCTAAAAAAGAAGTGGCAACCTACTGCAGGAAAAAATCTGCCTCGTCAGTCATGTAACGAAAGATACATGATCCCCTAAGCGTGTATCATGTATGGCACATAACTGAACTGAATCATTGAATTACGAAACATGAGATGTAGTAGAGCACCTAATTATGTAGATCTATGGATAGCGTCTCGGATTGAGAAATCGGAGAGCCGAGTTCGAATTCCAGTCGGATCTATTACATTCACTTACGTGCTAATACCCTTTTCTTCTTCCCCCATGGGTAAATAGCAGGACGGGTTGTATAGCCTTAGATGGCAACTGGTCTGCCGCAGAAAGAAATGGCAGCCTACTGCGGGAAAAAATCTGACAGTCATGTATCGTGGCTCATAACTCCATCGGAAAGTTTCATAGTACAATGTAAAAAAAAAAAAAAAAAAAAAAAAAAACAATGAATTAATAGTTAATCGTGCATTGCTATAGAAGGAAATTATGCTTAAAAATAAATGTTTTTTTGTATATTTAGGCTGAGAATGGACGGATTCGAACTCACACACGCAAACACACGCGAACACACGCATATGTATGTATATAGCTGAATGCAAAAGTAGGTATACAGTAATGAAAAAACAAACGCGCGAACAATGCAGATTGTAGTGATTATACAAACATACAAATACTGATATAAAACTGACTGTATACATAATTTAGTAGCCACCTATATACACCGAGACTCGAAGCAACAGAGGTGTGGTTCTACGGAAGGAAGCAAGGATACCATGAATCGAACATGCGAGCAACAAGTGAGGGTGCAAACAAAACGGAAACTCATACTTAATATCAGGAAGAGGCAGCTGAAATTTCTGGGACATGTAATGAGAAAGGAAGGCTTTGAAAATCTGATACTCAAAAGGCGGTTAGAGGGAAAAGGGGACTAGGGAAAGCAACACGTGGTATACTTAATGGACTTAAGCGAGTGGATGGCAGAGCAGGGTCTGGGAGAAATAACAAAAAGTCAAAACTTATTGAGAGCTACAAGGGACAGGAGGAGGTGGGGAGATGTGATCGCCTACGTCGTGAAAGAACACGGCACACAAGAGAAGAAAGAATACACACACAAACACACACACACGCACACACACGCACACACACAAACACACACACACACGCACACACACACACACACACACACATATATATATATATATATATATATGATAAGAATATAGTTTAAAGATATATTTATGAGTAAAAGTGGACACAGATCAACAACGAGCGGCGCAATCTTCAGTCCTTAGACTGTCGCTGCTTGGTGTTGAGCTCAGTGTCCACACACACACACACACACACACACATATATATATATATATATACATATATATATGCATATTTATTAATATATAATTAATAGAACTGTTATATTACATCGAGTAATGTTTTATTAACACCTGCACTATACGTGCGATATATTATATTCACACACACACACACACACACACACACACACACACACACACACACACACACACACATATTTATATTCATTAGTAAAGAGATATAAAAAATTTACAATCCTTGCTTGACAATTATAGCAAACGGTATGAAAGAAAATGTACATATTGTAGATAGATAGCTAGCTCGCTAGCAAGCTAGCTAGATAGATAGATAAAAGAGCTAGAAGAGATAGATAGATAGATAGATAGATAGATAGATAGATAGATAGATAGATAGA